AAACATCATGTTCTGTGACGAATAGCGCTTACGCAAAAAAACAATGGAGATGGACTTCTGTGTAGTATTCTGTGACTCGAGTAACCGCTGCCACGCCATGATTCATCATCAAAATGCTGACGCCATGGTCCTAGCCAGGGCCCGTTCTCTCGTGCCCGCGAATACCGCCTGCTACGCAGGCTAGGAGGTGAAGAAAACACGGGCAGCTTAACGTTTTTTCACTTATAAAACATTTTGCTCGATCGTTTTTTTGAAGTATGCGACGTAGGCTATCCTTTTCAGAGGCCATCGTTTTTCTTGCTGAGGCAGACTTGGACCCCGTTAATAATAACACGGTACTGGACGAATTCAGGACCTGGCTGAAATTCGTCCATTTTCGCCTGTTTACACGCGAATTTGTCCTGTTAGGGGGTCTCAAATTCGTCCGGTACCAATTTTTACAGTTCACTGGGGCCCACCCATAACCTGCGAACAGGCATGCACGAGATTGGTCTTGGTGACTATAATCTGTAGGCAGGGTCATGTAATTGATATGTATATATAGAGTGTTTAAACACCGCCCTCGAATACTTGACGGAAATTCAATCTGGAACTGAGTTCGGAAAAGCGGTAACTTAAATGCATGCATGATGTGGAATTTGTCTTGTCTTAATTTATAGTTTAGGTATACTGAACTACTGAAGCAATAAACATTAATCATTCCCATGTAACATAGCCACTATAGTCTTGTATAGCTGTCATTTACGTCATTGTGTATACTGTATATGTAATTGTTTACCTCGCATCACTTTCATTATAATCTACCCGTTGAAGACTGTAGACTGACAGTCGAAAGCTTGTGAAAAATAAATATTTTAACCAGAGAACGTCTATACTCAATATGAATAATCCTGGCTTCGCATCAAACATATTTAAAAAGTGTAAAACTCAATAAATTATTAGAGTCTGTTAAGGCCTCATCAACCTTGTTACAACATGATAATAACTTGTTCCAGACTTGTCAACAACTGGAAATAAGCAGTGCCAAACATCTTGTTGACAAAGCTGTGAAATTTTTACGCACGAAGCATTGCCATTGGGTAACTTTGCTAGTGTATTAAATGAACCGGACGTTTTGAGCATTGGTATTAAATTCAACGTACAACCACACAAAATGACGTTGCAAAAGTAAAGTCAATTAATATTGTGTTACCTTGCTGCTGAGGTAACATTGTCATTGGCCAAGTAAAGTTAGCTTGATATTCCGCCATTCTTGAAAACTGTGTTTGGATGTACGGATTTGTTGATATTTCAGGGAGGAAGGGTGTCGAGTTTGGGGACCAATATGGGTTAGGTGGCAAGGTAGGATAACCAATTGGTATTGTATTGTATGGTGGTAAGGCCAAGTTAGGGTATGTCGAGTTTGGAAACCAATATGGGTTAGGTGGCAAGGTAGGATAACCAGTTGGTATTGTATTGTATTGTATTGTATTGTATTGTATTGTATTGTATTGTATTGTATTGTATTGTATTGTATTGTATGGTGGTGGTAAGGCCAAGTTAGGGTATGTCGAATTTGGAAACCAATATGGGTTAGGTGGCAAGGTAGGATAACCAATTGGTATTGTATTGTATGATGGTAAGGCCAAGTTAGGGTATGACTTTGGGCATGGCCAACATGCTTGCTGCAATCTCTTCTGAAACTCTCTGGAATTTTGATTTCCGTCCATGTTGTTGTCTTTGTTTTGCAATAGCGGTCGATAAGCCATCAGTCGTTCGTCTTCGGTCTTGTTTCGTAGCTCAACTAATATTCTCGCCAGTGGCGTGCTGGCAGGGGGGGCCGGGGGGCCACGGCCCCCCCAGCTGGCAATTCTTGGGGGGCGCAAAAATGAAAAGGGGGCGCCGTCCCGTGCGGAATTTTGAAAGTGGGTGGGAAAAAACGCATTTGAAAAAATATAGTTACTTCCGTCAAGAAGTATATATTTATATAGGCTTATAAACAGATCGAGACTAAGCGCATAGACGACAAAGAGATATATTAAATTACAGACTATTTGGTCTAACCGTATTGGCTAATTTGCTACTTCACAGCTCACACAAAATCGTTGATATAGAAACATGATCGGTGATCACACACAATGTCTCATTACCGGAATATTGGTCAGGTTTCGAAGCGATCACGGGAATTATGCCCTTTTTTGCTGGTATTATGCCCTTATATTATGAAGGTATTATGCTTCACGAATCACGAGAGCGGCGCAAATTAGATAGTTATGATAATGTAAGTTGTGTACGCAATTTAATTGTTTGTGCAAGAAACATCATGACTCATGAGTAATGTAAGTGATAAGATAATGCTGAAACGCGCCCTTTTGGCAGTCAAGCAAGGTAACCTTAAAGTGCATATGCGTGGGGTCCGTGTGCTATTGTATAAAAGAGCTGTATGTTGTAAATGTATTCAGATCACGAGATCAGTAGAGAATAGAATTGGGATTAGATTAATCGCTGGAACTGAGTTAGCATTGCCCAATTTAAATACTACTACTAAATTCTAACTAAATTGCAAATTCCAACACGTTATAATGCCGTTTCCTGACCATCAGATTTCTGTCAAACCTTCCCCCCAAAGTCCAGGAAATGGCATTTCAGAGACCCTAAATTCAAAAATTTTCCGAGGGGGCATGCCCCCGGACCCCCCTAGAGAAACCTCGCACCTGCGGCGCTCGGCTCGTGCCTTCGACACTCGTTTATCAAGCGTTACAATATAGGGGCGCATATTAGTTGAAAACCCACTGGCCCCCCTAGAAAATTAGTACCCAGCACGCCACTGATTCTCGCAGCTTCTTTTTTGTGGAAACATCTCACTTCACTTATTCGGTCAATTCACTGAGCACACTAAATTTGAAAGAAAAACGTCAGGAAAAAACAAAATATTATATGTCTTTTTGGCTGTACGCGTGTTTTGCATAGCATGAAATCATACTATTATATATACACCTTATAACACGAGCAGATGAGAGCTTGTTTAGGAAGGAAATTTTTATCCGAAGTTTCAGAATGTAATGTTTGTCTTTTTGACCGACACTGAAGGCTTCCCCGCCAAAAACTGCAACATTTTGGCGCCAGCCGCTTGCCTACTTGTTTTTCATTCGTCTTTCGCGGCTGCCTTTTTGATAAAAAAAATACTAATTTACAATAATAAAACTAATCATTAGGATATCTCTACCTAATTCTGCTTCATATAGCAATATTTCGGGATTTTTAACAGTTTATAGTGACGCATTTGCATGACTGAAAAACTGTCAACGCTGGAATCTAGGATCTACAGGCTGGCTTGCGATCAAAGGCTATCGACTTGTTTTGAAAACAATTTTAAGTTCTGACTACCAAATATAATTATTACTGTAATTATAGATATTTTAACTGACAAACAAGTTAACAACATGTTACGGTATTACTATCATTTCTCGATAAATTTATCGTTTATCACCATAATTGTTTTTATATAATTGCATAATTGTTTTTATAGCTACAGCCTACATGGAAACTGGAAAGCATCCATCCGTATGCTCAGCCAGTTTGACCGTATTAAGGTTCTATTTTCTAATCTTTGACTGTGATGCTCTTGTTTTGAAGTTTGCGCCGTCAACCTATCCTGGCAATCTTGTGTTTCGCTGCAGGAAAAAGAAAAAATGGTCGACATTTTAAAATATGGTTATAAAATACATACTGTGGAAGGGTTTTAAAAAAAAACACAAAACAAACATTTCTTACCTGTGTCTTTTCTGCTCTTTCGCCCGAAGTTTTTTCCAATTTGTTTCAGTGGCCGTTTACAACTTTACATATCAATTGTCAGCGGGCTCTTGGCGAATGATGGCGTGGCAACAAAGCAAGAATTATCAATCAGAAGCCTAATTAAAATAATAATTAACAATAATTATTATTAATAATAATTATTATTTAAATAATTATCTCTGCAAGACATATTTGATAATTTGAAGTCAGTCATGATGGCATGTAGGTATGGCGCCGAAAATACAACACTCGGAATTCTCTGGGTACGAGGTTGAGAATTCTTCAGTTTTTCCACGCAATACACTTTATATAAACATGGATAAAAGCTCAAAATAAACAACAATACCCTGTACATCAGAACAAAACGAGTTCTGGGACTGTTGAAAAGTTTAAAGTTATTTTTTGGGGAGTTGGTATGTGAATTTGTTTTCGGCACGTTCAAACTTCTGCAATATTTGGAAGAAAGCTGTTATCCCAAACGTTTTTGCAATCAGGTTTAACTTTTAGAAGTGAAACTCTCTGGTGTTGTTTTCGGCTAATTTTGGCTAAAAATGTTTTTGAAAGTCAGAGCGTAAACAAATGTTACAGAGATTCAAAAGAGTGCCAATTTGGCTTCGATCAAGTTCCCATAAAGTTCAATGTTCGACCTATATTCTATAAGAAAAGTGAGCCAAATTAGCGGAAATTGACGTCCAATATCTATATGAAGGTTGTAAACGGTTTTGATATCATTTTTCCCAGCTAATTCCAATTTTTTTCTAATGACCGTATCACCCAGTATCACTAAACAAGTTATCAGTTCGTAGAACCATAGTATTATTCTTTAAATTGCAGTATAAGATACGAAATTTCGGCACATTTCCTCGCACGGGCGGCTGGTGAGTGGGGGCGTGGTAGTAATGAAAAATCCTTCATGATCCCTAGCTGTTACCCCACCATTTCTCTATAAGTATTGCATAATTCTGACTTTTGCCACCGAGTTGCTTGCGAGGAGGCTAAGAGAGTCCAGTAGTAGTTGAATATTGGTGGTGGTGCTTTATAGTTACCGACTCGGCAGCTTTAAGGATCGGAGTGACAGGCAGGGACATAGCAAGCGGAGGATAATGAGGGCGGTAACTATAAAGCAACCCCTTACCTTTACCTTTTGAGAATTACTGAGATTAGAGTCGGTTACAGAGTCATGTTCATATAAACGAGTAACTTGTCTATAGATTGATTCAAGATTAGTCAGTAAATTTTCATGAAAATGCCTCTGTAACCAATGAAACATAAAGCACACATTCCCCCCATAAAAGCGTGCTCTCGTTCATGACTACAATGTCTGCCTAGCTGATGGAACCATTGACACACTAACACTTGTGAACAGGCCATAAAATAACACTTGTATGTGGTTATATTCCCATTAGGCTACAAGCTAACACACACACATACTTGCACGATATTATTGGATGAGATTTTTGTGATATATATATGTTATTTACCGGATTGGAGGTCCGTATAGAGAAATATTTCTCGAGGTCTTAAAAACGGCCCGAGGCCGAAGGCCGAGGGACGTTTTTAAGACCGAGAGAAATATTTCTCTATACGGACCGACCATACCGGTAAATAATATTTTTATTTTTTTTTAATTCCTCTGGATTTCCCCAATCACTCCTCCCGCACGCGAATGAAGCTGCCAAATAAAACGTCGTTTCTATCAATACTATCGGGAAGAGAAATATCTTTTGTGAGATAGTAAAATTCGTTTTCACTGTGTTTTTCATCGTCTGCAGACATTTTAATGTTTTAAAAAGTAGCCTTTAAACTCGTCTTTAAATTTTGAAAAATAAAAACATTGGCTCTATGGCTTTAAATCTCGCGCGGTCCGTACGGGTTCATACGGACCGCTCACGTAGCCAATCAGATTGCAGAAAAGCGTAAAATATGACTTCGGACCGCAAGAAAAAAAATAAGTGGAATTATCAAGGTCGAGGTAAACGTTATCAGCCAAGCCGAAGGCGAGGCTGATAACGTTTACCGAGACCTTGATAATTTTGCATATCGCAAAAACCGAATTCAATAATTGTTTTATTATACATCTGTTTGTGTTACAGTCAAAATACAAGAACCTTCCCGCTTCTGTAACTTTGTTTTGTATTTATTTGTTCTATTTTCTGTAGCGATTACCGCTTTATCGGCACATATCGCGTTAGGATCCGGTAGAATTTCCGTATAAATCGCTTTCCTTCCTTTATATACGTCAATTTGTAGCAATGGATACACCTTAATTTCGTTAGATTCTTTGCATAAAAGTTGCGAAACGTAGATCTTATAGCGATATTTGCTGATAAATCGGTTTTAATTAAACCGCCGCCTAGTGTGTTCATACTATACAAATTTAAAATTACCGAATACAATCATTTGACGTACTAAAATGAAAATTTCACAACTTTTATGCAAAGAATCTAACGAAAGGTGTATCCTCTGCTACAAATTGACGTATATAAAGAAAAGAAAGGGGAATTCTACCGCGATATTTGCCGACAAAAATCGATACAGAAAATAGAACAAATGACAGAAATACAAAACAAGCTACAGAAGCGGAAGTGGGAAGGTTCTTGTATTTTGACTGTAAATAGATACCGCTTGCTAATCATCACAGGCTCATTTGCAGATAACTGAGTTATCTGCTAGCAGATAACTGAATTTTCTGTAGGTTGCGTGATTGCGCGATTTAACTGTAAGCTCTTAGCCAATCAAATTGCTTTTACCAACTACAATGTATAATAATTATAGTTATTTAGCCCGCACAGACACAAAGTTTAATAAAATGTAAAATATACTATTTTTAAACTTAAAATTTGAAGTCTAAGCTAAATATTAAATTTTACACAAAAATATAACACTCTGTCTTTACATCTAAACCAGAAATATCTAGTCAAATATTGAATCTCATAGACTGTCGTATGTACAATGTCAATGGAAAGGAAGTATATGACGATACGAGATTCATAATCTATTACAATTGTTCCTGCCCATACTGTTCGATCCTTGCTGCCCAATGCTGCTGGCGTCTTCATATTTAACAACGATCGGGCTTGTGTGTCTTGAGAAGCGTTCATTTAATGTAGGTAACGTCTGTGTATAAAAACAGAATATGAAACATGGATTCGACAAGTCAAACTCGCATCTAACCATAAGGGACCGGTCATTAATTATAGGAGGGGAAGAGCTGGTGAAAATTAAATATACCATGCTCATTTTTTTCTGACTCTCCACCAAAGCGATGCACGCTTTTGTCCGACCCCTCCCCCACCCCCTCCCCCAGCGTTTTTATGGATCGTACCTTATAATTTAAATCATTTTTGGTGTAAAATATATAGGTAATGAGACAAGTACTGGTGTAAGACATGGTGTAGCATAAATAATTAGAGGACCAGTATCCAAAATGGTTGTTACAAAAGCGTCATAACTATAATGATGTGCAATAAAATGTCTTAATTACTTAAAATATCGTTCGGTCACAGAGATTGTCCGACCCATTAAGTGAAATTGTCAGTCCGACGTAGAGAGGAAACTACCGGACATTCTGTCAGACCTAAGTGAAACTGAGGTTTGTTGTTTGTCCGACCCGAGTGTATTGGTGTCCGACAACTCTGTTGTTTCGTCCGACGTAAATCAAAATGTACCCTAGTCCAGGACAAGAGTCGTGGAGACTCGTACATGAATCAGAGTAAATAAGTACGAATAACACAAATTATTTAATGTCCTTCACAACATTTACCGTTCAGAATTAATTTGTGTCATTCAGACATTATTTCCGAGTCAAACTGAACGTCATCGGAGTTTACAAACTCATCGGACATTTTGTCAGACGGCCCTGTAAAAGATAGTTTAGGGCCTGTAATAATATATTGAAAGGTCATGATTGCTATTGAAACTAGGGATGAGCCGATTAATCGGTAAATAATCGGCAATGCCGATTAATCGAGCGTTTTTTAAATAATCGGTAATCGGCCGATTATTGCCTGATAATCGGCCATAAGACTTTTTCTGCAGCTGTCAATCACATGCTAAAATACTGAATACAAGCGAATAGATTTTCACATTTTTTTGCAAACCTGTGTCTTTTGTCTCAAGCGAAGTGAAGCTGGAAACATTTCCACTAAAAAACGCAGCAGACTAGCTCCGCATAGCTGACAATGTCTTGTTTTTACTAGGGATGAGCCGATTAATCGGTAAATAATCGGCAATGCCGATTAATCGAGCGTTTTTTAAATAATCGGTAATCGGCCGATTATTGCCTGATAATCGGCCATAAGACTTTTTCTGCAGCTGTCAATCACATGCTAAAATACTGAATACAAGCGAATAGATTTTCACATTTTGTTGCAAAACCTGTGTCTTTTGTCTCAAGCGAAGTGAAGCTGGAAACATTTCCACTAAAAAACGCAGCAGACTAGCTCCGCATAGCTGACAATGTCTTGTTTTTACACCATAATCTGCCAAATCTAAAGTTTGACTATTGACATGCGAGACTGAAGTTCTTTTTAATTGCACAAAGTGTGTATTGTAAACAATAAAATCGCATTTCCAACTTCATTGTTGGTCATTTTGTGATTTTTCGCTTGCTTTTTGAAATAATCGGTGGGTACCGATTAATCGGCCGATTAGTTACAATAATCGGCTTATAAATAATCGGCCTCAGTAATCGGCAATTTTCCTTATCGGCTCATCTCAGTTTTTACACCATAATCTGCCAAATCTAAAGTTTGACTATTGACATGCGAGACTGAAGTTCTTTTTAATTGCACAAAGTGTGTATTGTAAACAATAAAATCGCATTTCCAACTTCATTGTTGGTCATTTTGTGATTTTTCGCTTGCTTTTTGAAATAATCGGTGGGTACCGATTAATCGGCCGATTAGTTACAATAATCGGCTTATAAATAATCGGCCTCAGTAATCGGCAATTTTCCTTATCGGCTCATCTCTAATTGAAACGGCAGTTATATAAGTGTTTTCTAAGTGTTGTTTTTCAAAAAAGAAGTACTATCATTCTTTCCCCACGAAGCCTAAGTAAGTATCATAAAAACAGCAAGGAGCCAGGTGTTTTTTGTTCTGGTCCGGTGACTTTTTGATGGGCTTATATACATGGGAGGGTTTATATATGGACAACATTTGATGTTAATAATAATATTTATTGTAAACTATACTGTGAACGAAACGAAATATAAACATACACCAACACAGAAAAATCATTACTAAAACAACTTGGTTAACATATAATACTGTAATGTAATTATTGTCACACGTCACGTCTGAGCTGTAGTGTTGAAATAATAATAAGCCCATGGGCTAGTACACGAAGGGGCTTAATATTTGGGGGGGGGGGGCTTACAGTATATTTGGAATGGTCTGGGCGTCAGTGAAAATGGTCTTATAGTCGGGTAGGCTTATATTCGGAGGTTTACGGTAGCTCCTTTTGTTTTGACAATTCCTAGGTATAAAATATCTAATTCTCATTATACTTTCCACGCTTGCATGGATGGTACATTTGACTATTCCTTGTGACAACCTAATTGAAATAGCTGTACAGGGTGTATCAAAAAAAGGTAATCGAACTTCAGCGCGCTATTATACGTGAATCACTCGGCGTATGAACAATTGGTTTTCATATTCGAAAGATCAGGCTTTTAGCTATTGAATGACATGCTTTTCATACCACGTGGAGAAAAAATAAGCATGTACGAGGCCGATCAAAAATGTTAGTCAAAATCGCATATTTTCACCTCTGTGCCTAATTAAAACAATGCATAACAATAGTAAAAGCAATTAATCACGAACGTGTCGTAGCTTAGCTACGATTTATTCCTACTTAATAATAATTATGAATATGTGCGTCGTTTATTGAAGTGAAATTCATCAACTTAAGTACCAAAGAGGGTTCATTTTCAATGGTTTTAGACCCCACTTTCAACGGTGAAAATATGCTATTCTGACTAACATTTTTTATCGGATTCGTATTTGCTCATTTTTTATCCATTTGGCATGAAGAAGATATCATTCAACAGCATAGACGGATTTTGTGGGGGGTGCAGGGGGGTGCTACCCCC